GCGCTAATGTCGTTGGTGGGTGAGGATATTCTACTGCGTGAGGCATTCACAAGGCTTGGAACTAAGCCATAGCGGGAAATCTGGGTGACAATGTGAGAAATTTTTGTTCACTCTGACCTTGCTCCTCTCTCCTGGGCTTAGGTTAGACCTAGTGTCACTTGCCATCGGCCCTGTTTTGAACGAAATTTTGTCGTTGGTGGGGGAGGCCCTGCCTCTCCCCCACCCCTCCCTACTTGAGAAGCTCAATTCTACAAAACTGTGCCTGATACCAAACAAATGACGTCCAAGGGATGGCGGGTTTGATTGCCCATGAGCACAAAAACTTTCTGCCAAACTAACAATTGCCTTAAAAAGTTTATTTGGCTAAAGATCAAATAATTGTCGCAAGGTATGAGCGAGTTCATCGATGCGAAAAAATCGTTCGTTCGAAAGGCGATAGATGAGGATTTCTCCTTGTGGAGGAAACAGAACATTCTTCACTTGTTCCCTGGAGAATCGTCGAGTTACCTTGGTAAAATCATTTCCCAAATGAATTGACGGTCTGGACATTCGTGGCACTACGAAACCTTCCGAAGCACACAGCTTTTCTATCGTCTTGGACAGCTTTCGAGGTAGCTTCGTAGCAAATGGACCATCACAGACACTCAACGAATTCCGATGAAGATTACGGTAAGGTGACAGCAAACTTGAGCCTTCGCCGATTGATATGCTTCCTCTTCCAAAAAAAGGCTGTCTGTAGGAGCGACGTAGGGAGAAACCGCTGTGAAGACTTCCGAGACCATCGCGGTTGTCATCTGAAGTATTGAGCGATTGCGACTCATCGAAGCTCGTGCTACTTGATTCGTTCGACGGTGAATCAGTCTCGACGCGGATTGACGGAATTGAAAGTCCAGTCCCATAAGATGATTCACACAATGTATGACGCTTCGGCGAGCAGTAGTGCTTCAATAGCGGAAATTTTGACAACTTGGGCGGCTTTTTCACTTGCAACCTTGAACTGCGGGCCACATCCTGGTGGTGAATCTCAGCCACCTTGACTTTCGGCTGAATAACAGTCAAAAGTATGAAGAAGTCATCTTCAGAGGAGCTACTCTGCGTATCCTCCGTGTCTCCAGATGCCTGATCAGAGGACGTGTCAGGATGCTCGTAGGCGACATCAGGAGCTGTAACAGAAGAGCCAGCTAAAAGAGTGTGAGTCTCCGGGATTTCAGCGTCCAAATAGAAGTCGTTCTCCTGGCAATTGGTCAGTAATGCGATTCGAGGATTCACTCTCCGGTGGTTAGGGTGGGCGGCTGAGGAACGGGTTGAAGGGGTTTCACACATAAGGCGAGAAGAGGGCAAGAAGGCAATGAAATGCTTTGCCAGCCGCAGAAGCTGTACGTGTGAGTCATGTCGATGGAACAACGTCATCCCTCAATGACTCCACTTGCCCGAACAGCATTATTTCCTCGCAACAAGACCTTTCCACTTGGTCAAAGTGAACTCATAACAATCAAACTGGAGCTGGCGGAAATAGTAGCGGTACAGAGCAATGGTGACCTTTTTTATAGGGGACACCCGGGCTCCAGCTATGAAAAGCTTCAAATCTTTACCGTCGCCTTGTAGGTATGTCTCGACGTGGAGCGCGTTATTATTAACAAGGTCACCGTAAAGAAAGGATGTACCTGGACTGTTTGACTCCTTACCCCTTACAATCCTTACCTAGCCCTTTTCAAAATGCTCCTGCAAGGCCACTTGCCATTCTCTGGGGGGGGGGGTGGCGATGGCGAAGTAGCGAGTGGGGGTGGGGGCAAAAGACGTCGAGCAGGTACCCCGTTACTTCCTCAAGGAGGAGCTTGCGCGCGTAATCGAGTAAGAATATCGGAACCGTGCACCACCTTTAGCGAGACCGGGTGTTTTCTAAATATTCATTAAAAAAAAGGCTGAAATGGGAGGATCCCTGAGAAGGAGAACCGGTAACAAGTGCGGCTATCTGTCACCAATGGCAAGCAGAGAAAAAACGAAAAATTACCTCCTGCCGTTTGCTTACCGAGTTTCTCCCAGCACCACCTCCTCATGCACGGGCAGGTTGAAACCTAAAGCAATAACTTCAAATGAGGTCACGTCGAAGAATCTGTTCTGTGGGTAGGGTAGAGTAGCTAGCGAGTATCACAATACAGAGCAACACTAGTGCTACGGCCTTTAAGAAAACGATCTGATAACGATTATGTGAATTTACGGACGAGATACCTCAGGCTCCCTCCCACGCAACGTGGATTATGAGGTAGCAGACAGGGTAGCCGCTAGGTAAGATTGCTTCTTGTGCAAGTGCGGTACGTGAATCGATCTTTCGTTTCTCTTCGTATTGGTTGGATAATAATGGATTAAGATTTGGAAGAAGCGATGGCGTCATTTCAGTAGGAGGGCAAGATACCGTGCCCTCATCCCTACCACCCGATGCGTACACTCCCTGGACAGGTTTTTCGATAATTAGGGACCGATGAGCAGGGAAGGAAGTTCATTTAGGGGGTGAGGGCAGGGCATTGGTAATTGCGACGCACAATGCCCCCCCCCCCTTAGCGGATTGAAGCGCCAGCATTGCATTCCTTTTTCTTCAAACGAACATAAATTTATCTTTGAGGGCAATTTTTCAAAAATTGGAACCGATTCAAAAATTACTCAAGTTATGCTACCTGGATAACATGGAACTTTTAACATAACATACAGTTTTCCGACATTTGACATTAGGACGAATCAAGGCGAGAAATTCTCAAATACAGGGTTATCCCTTTTAATAGCCATAGGCCGCCTTCATAGGGACCTTTTACAAAGCGAATGGCGAATTTGAGGACGAGGTTCCCGTTTTAGCAACGAGATTTTCGCACAGTAATCATATCAAGAAAGAGCCTTGAAATGGTAGTTGCTAGAATAGCGGAGTTTCCCAATGTTCAAAGATCCAGTAGTTATAAATCCCTTCGAAAGCGTTTTTTGCCCAGCGCAAAGAATAATCCAAAAGTATGGGATTTTTTTCGTCAATTTCTTGAAAGTACCCGATTATTCAGTTATGTTATGGTATGCTCCTCTACACTGAACAGTTTTTTTTCGGGCAAGGGTCCCACGTCCGTTAATAAGTCCAACAGAGGGTGTGGGAGGTCGTTATTTGGTGTGGAAAGAGTGGGGTGTTATTGCGCGACGGTACGTAATTTTACAGTAAAAGGGAATGGGAAGAGAGCGAAGTTGGGAATGTTGGATGGATCTCAGAATGACATACTATAGAATCACCATGGCGATGGGCAAGCGAGGGGTGGTGAGAAGGATGGCCTAAGGGGTACCTGGTGGGGGAGGTCTTTTATCGAGGTCCTTAGAGGGGGGGAAGGGGGTCGTAAAATTTTCGAATGTCCAAGTGACGGCTTGCCTGTCTCCGGGATCGCTATGCACAAGTAAATATTTTTTTTCTCCCACCCACAATCTGCACTAATTCCCAACTCCGAAAGATGGCAAACTTGGTTGTGGAGGTACAATGAAGGATTTGACTCTGGACCGTAGACATAGGATCGGCGCCAGTTCCCAATACACAGCTTTAAATTCGGTGTCGCCTTGATCAAACAGTAACATTTAATTCCGATGCGGAAGTTTCTTTTGATTTGTAGAGATGCCTGGCGCCAGAAACTAGGAACCTTCGTGATGAGGAACTTTGCAAGGGCCTGATTTTTGTGCATGTGGTGAGAGCTTGATCCCTTCTCTGCTTGTGCGCTTTCACTATTAAGCATTTATTCACAATTTACACGAAGGTTGAGAATACCGGCGCAACACACTGGCCTTGCCGCATTGCAACGTTAAACCGCGCTACGTTTTTGTTGCTCGTCCTAATCGTACCAACCACCTGTTTTTCGCTTCCTATTCGATCGGTTTTTCACTACTTCTGAGAAACTGTTAGAGGAAGTCTTCATGAAGTATCGAAGGGAAAAACTCTTTTGACGGCAATCGCTCGAAAACTTCAACGAAATGGGCGTCAAAATAGCAATACGAATTGGTTTCATTATTCGAGGAGAATAGACAAATTTGAGGTTATTGAAGAAACGAATCGCAACCAATCAAATAAAAAAAATCGAAAAAGCATTATAGTATATAGAATGTAGGAAATATTACAATTACAATAGACTATAAGGAGTCCCGCCGTTAAAAGAAAGAAAACAATAATTAAAGGCCAAAAGTTTTATTGAATCCAAAACGATCATTCAAACTATCCCGTGGTGATACAATGAGAGAACATTCTAGTACCGATAAAACAAAACTTCGAAATAGAAAGTACAAGTTCCAAATGGATAAAATAACTCCGAAACAAATGAAGTATAACGATTTGCGCAAGCCCAAAAAAAACTATTGGTAATAAAGTTCGAAGTTGAACCCCTCATGGATCTCGTAGTCTTGGAGAGTGATGTGATCCTTGTAAATCGTGTACCACTTCTTCAGCACAATTTTCTCATACCTTAACGCAAAAATACGAATCATCGATGAAGAGAATGTAAGTTAAAGATCTTTACCTGGTTCCAGTCTGTGCTGCAATCAACTTCTTCAAGTCACCAATGGTGTCGGTAGGATTGCATTTGATTCGAACTTTCTTCCCCAATCGATCATTTACCGTAATCTCGATCATCGGAAAATACAAAAATAACATTTACACACATGTCATACATGTAGAATACGCATTGAGCAAATCAGTACGACTTCCGCTAACGATAGGACACCGAAAGTTAATAACGGTAGGAGATTCTTACGGTACGGCTTCAATGTCACGAAAAATGATGGGTGAAATATAAACTAATCATGAGTCAACCAGTCAATCATCAGTCAACCAGTCAATCATGAGTCACTGAATCTATCTGGATTCTTCAGATGAACGCAGAAATCAAAAACGGAATCCACTATCATTGTAGGACAAACAACCTTTTAATGATTCTTCCCTGATTACTCCCTCGCTACTAAGGATGAAGAACAAAATTCGTTGTCATCCCTACATCCGATTTAGCGACCCTATGGGACTAGAAAAAAAAGGCTAGCGCTCACTATTCATTCAAATATTTTGTTTATTATTTTAAGCAGCGTGTGGGTGAGCTATACCCCTAGAATGCCTGTGTGACAACACTCGAACACTCAGATCGAACTCGAAACAGAGGTCCCATGTGTGTTGCATGAAACATGCGATGCTGTTGGGTGCCAAGGCCGCACGCATAGTCGGTCGGACGACAGCAACGACCGCAAGTGTCGCATAAACCGCGGTCGCAAATGGAAGGCGACGCGGTCACCCAATGCAAACCCAGACAACACGTGACTGCGCGTGATCGTATTTCGAAAGTCCCACTGTAGTGTGGAATAGTAGCTGCGTATTGATCTAAGTGTCGCACTTTTGACGATCGATACGCCTCCTAATGCTGTGCGACACTTGCGATCGTTGCTGTCGGACGACCGACTATGCGTGCGGCCTGACGTGTCCTCCCACACATCCACCCAATTTCGAAATTCTGCCATTGCTTAAGAATCTCTAAGTGATCCCATCCCCTTTTGCCATGGGTGTCTTAGTCCCTAACGCGAAAACATGAAGCAACACGTAACACGTTGGGTTTGAAATTATTGGGTAAGAAAAACCGTATATGGTAAAGAAAAGCAAATGTCTGTATGATAGAAAATTGCCATCATAGCACCGACCGCGGTGGTTAGCCATCCAATTCCAGAAAAACTACGCTTTCTTTACCGCACGTATAGCTCTCGAGTGGCGCACCAGTTGTCGCTCTGCGTCGCTAATTCAATGCCAGATAGAATAGAGATAAGGATCAAAGCCAATCCTGAAAACGATATACACCTAAGGAAGAAACCAACACAATGGAAAAAAATTTCCAGTAATAATCTTTATTTTTGTTTAACTACGAGTACTTATCGCTATTGCTACAGAACATACACTCAATATGATTACGAATTCAGCGTGTAACTTCACAGTAGATATACATAAGTGCGCAAATTCGTAACAAAAATGTTCTTATCACAACTGTAGTATAATGGAATCACGGAAGTGCGTCAAGAAAGTGACTAAGAGGTGTAGAAGCTGACAAATTTGAATTCAGTAAAATTCTTCATATTGGACAGGATACAGATCAAATTAAGAGAACTGTCCATGGAGCTTCTTCTGAAGAATAAGATTATGATGCAGTTCTGGTTTTATATCACAGACCAATTGCAGCAGACGAACAATAACCTGAAATTCATTTTGGCAGTGGCAAAAAAAACAAGCAGGAAGTTGAAAAAACGCACCTGTTGTTTATTTGCAGCTACATTTTTTTTCATGGCCTCAATCTCGTTCTCAGTATCGCGACGTATTTTACTTTCAGTATCTTCCTTGGTTCCGAGGTAGGTCTGCTCATACTGCTTGAACTCACGCTCACGTTCCTGGAAAATAGCGTTACCTTTCTCCACACATCAGGAACCATAAAATAATGATCCGAATAATACTACAAAGTTTCAGTATGTGGAAGCAAATAACACTTATTGGAGGAGCACAAGGACCAGCTTAAAATGGTATACTGACAGCTTACCAAAAGCATACCCCCCTCCCCGGGAAGGCCATTAACAACATGGTGCTTGATTTCAATCAAAGGAAATAGCAAGAATATTACCTGTCGGTATTTCTCTACTTCAGCCTGAGCTTCTTGTTTAGCCTGCTTCATACGTTGGAATTTTCTCTTCCTAGCCTCGTTAATCTTTTCAGCAGCTCTCTTCTCAGCAGCAAGAAGCTGCTGAATTCCTTGAGTTTGCGACGCCATTCCTAAAGCAGACTGAACCATAGTTCATACGGCATGGACGTTTCTCACGAATACATGATAAACTAATAGAAAGACAAAGATATCTGGTAATTTACCACACAGAATAGCTTGCAAGCAATTAAACTTGTACATTTTTATTAAGACCTCCATCACTTCAAGTTGGAGTACAAAGTAAGGATTGGAAGGAAATGAAAACTACATACATTCTAATAAGTGAAATGCGATAAAAGGTGAACTAGGAAATATCTCACAGCGATACGAAAAACCCGTTAAGACGGCAAACCGGAAGCTTCGACAATCGTCAAATCAGATATAACTAGAACCGACTATATATGAATCTGATGTTGGCACGTAGTTTCATCAAGACAAGATAGGAAACTTTCAAAACACATCTATTAAGAACTCTGGAGTCTCTGAGACTGTGAACCGTGAGTTATCACAAAGAATCTAACCTACAAACCACGAAGAATTCACGATGAACTTATTATAGCAAGAGCGTTCGGAACCTGAAAATATATTGATTTGTATGGTCCAACATCAAAAAAACAATACAAGTAAACCTACTTCGACACAGTAAATTAATGCCACCTTACCTTGAAGGTTTTCACTTCAGCGTCATCGAAGGTAGCTTCCAATACTAACTGCGAGCCTGCGACATCATATACAGACGGCTGACAGACGCTGGAGCAGTAATTCAAACTTCGGCAGTAACGAGTCAAGAAGCGACTTCAAAACCTACCTGATAACAAAACGGAAGACGTGACTCTCGCCATGTTTAACTACTGATCTAACCACTTCCCGGTCAACCCACCACTGCTGACGATTTTCGGGTGGCAGTTGAGCCAGTGATGTTACAGCTTCCGAAACCTGGAAACGAAAGACATCTACGCTGCTAAATCCATCGTATAGATGAGACTCACCTTAGGCCTATACTTCAATGTGAGATCTGCGACACGTTTTCTATCGTCGACATTCGTAACCAGCACCTCGAGCGGGATTTGACACAATCTGAACTCCTTGAATTGTAGGAATCCAAAAAAATCAAATATGAATTTTTAGTTACCTGTTTAACTCAAAGTTGTGCCTTATAGGTCTGATTGGCCGGCAAATTATATTCAGAGATGCGTCATCGGAAACAGCATTTTGAAAATGGTCATCCTGCAGAGAATAGCCTTCTCTGGAGGACCACATATCCGTTCTTGGAAATCTCAACTTGGCTGCTGTGAGAGGCTCATCGATAAAAGTCTCTCCAACAATAGATGACACCTGCAACATGGAACACCGTATACACTGTTCATTTGTGACATGCACCCTTCAAAGAAGTATTTTAACTTACATGTCCATCGTTATTTACCACGCTAGCCCGCCAAAGAATGGCTAACTGGTAATAGTTGTCAAGAATGTTCTGCGATTCATCCACGGTTTTCGAAGCTGCTGGTAAAGCGGCAGGCCAAGAAGGAGGTTCCGCAGGCATGGGACTCAAAGACCAACTGACTTCATCCGCATCTTGTTCGTCTGGTTTTGCTTTAGGGGGCACAGATATCCGAAGGCAAACGTTGCACGACTGTTCACAATCAAGTTGTACTGAAAAAAAAAAATAAAACAAAGGTATTCACTGAGATAAAACATGATTACACATTTTTTGTGAAAAAGTTTAACCCTTAGACTACGACTTTTTTAGAAACAAGTTATCGATGTGTTTTGTGTAGTAACAGTCGCTCCTAGCAACAACTAATCATCTGTAGAAATTTGGCTGACGCGCGCTGGGTTTGAGCTGGGATTCGATCCAGAGACCATATGCGCGGCAGTGGCCCCTCCTGTCACCACACCATCTCCGCTCGAATGAGCATTTTTGAACAGTTCAAATACCATTCAACAAATACACATTTATCACATCTCATTCGTGGAACAAGGCAATGTCCGGTTGGGAACGCACTTGAAAAGAATTGCAAGCCGCACTTTGTAGAAGTGCTGCTCCCCTGCCTACAGGCTGCGCCCACCGGCTGCTTCTCCTCTAACGAATTTTCGCTGGTTTTTATGCTCGAAAGCTGCGTCATCATAGGAGTGTTCTACTACCACTTCCGCATCAAACGAACTGACAAAACTCCGGAGGTTGGAATTTCCAACGCAGTCGTAAAACGCTGTCGTCCTCTAACTGGCTTGCGGCCGATAAAAACCTCCATCCGTCATCGGTTTGCTTATGTTTCACCTGTTTCACATAATTGAGGGAAATATTAGAATTTAACACAATACAAAGAGTGTGAGACTCGAAAACTACCTTTCGGGAGCTGTGCACACTGCCCAGTGACCTGTGGAACGACTTGCTTATCAACTTATCCAGCGTAACTCGCTTAGACTTTGATACTTCGCTGACAGAGTAAGAATTACAAAGTTTCTAGTTGTGCACAACTCCGCCATAAAGCGGGCCCTCCGATCTCAATAAGTGCCAAAACTGTGGTAGTGACTTTGACTACGGAAGTGGGACACATGTGTACCACCAGTAGTCAAAGATTAACTTACGCAGGATGACTCGCTTTAGCTTCTGACGATTAACTGTCATAGTAGAATTAGAAAGCTTCTATATGTGCACAATTAAGCCATCAAATGAGCCTCCTGCCTCAATATTCCTGGAACTGTGGTAGTGTGTCTTTGACTACGAAGTGGCACATGTGCGCCACCAGTATCAAGGGTTAAGCTACATCATCAACATGTTGATATGAAGCAATTACACGAGTGTTTAAAGCAACAGTCCTAGCAGGGCTCTTAGCTTCGACACTGATGTTGTGGAACGATGCACAACGATCGAGGATCACAGGGACTATTTAAATGAATCGATCCACGATCGCACATGCTCTCGCAGCCAATCACGCGATTTTCACTGCTGGAGAGGGGCTTGAAGAGCGATAGCCGCTATGCACTTTGAAGGCGCTTCAACTCCATTCTTGCGGCTTCCAAGGTGAGTTTTTTGTTCAGTCCACTTCTTATGTTCTTGACTAGGGCTAGCGCATCGTTCCACACCACTAGTGTCAAAGGTAAAAACCCTGCTGGGACTGTTGCTTTATGAGGAAATACAACAATGCGATTCCGAGTTCGGCGAATTCGAAGTACCTTTATGTAAGTAAGAGAAGGTATACTATCTGTTTTGAACAACGAAAGACTACTCACCTTACCCCGACTTCATGGGTTTAATAGAGACGTTCGCAGCATCGATTTCACTCCAAATCCTTTCTCGTTAACATTTTGACACACAAGACGAATACGCGACACTTCGCAACGTGCAAGAGCCGCATCATTTGCAGGCATTACATTACCGCATGTTAATGGCAGCGATTCCATGAACCTCATCTAAAATGGAAATGTTGATTGCTATCAGAGACCTTCCACATATTACACGCATAGCAAAAAAGAAGATAACGTCTTAAATTGCTTTCGATCGAGGAACTACAGCTATTTGTTCCCATAAAACAGCATAAGGCAAAAGTGCGCTGTCAATGTATCTCCTCTCAGGCAAGAGTGACAGTGGCACCCGTCTGTAAACATGGTCAATCTAGTACTGGCACTCTCCAGCCCGCAGCCATCCCGTTGCCTTCCACTAAGAGAACGTCCTCCGCAGGCTATTCTATCCTCGGCTTGGGGAGACAGGGTTGCGCCATAGGAACCGCCACTGATGTTGTAGCTACCCTAACTGTTGAGGCAGGGTTGGGGTCGCGCTGTCTGAAGTATAGACAAGCAAAGTATGGCTGGTCCTATGACGCAACCCTGTCTCCCCCACCTATAGGATAGGATCAGCTATAGTGGACACGTCCCCCTGGGGAAGGGATAGGATTTGGCCCCAGATCAGATCAGATCCATATAACGAACTTTATACGAAGTTATACGAGCTTCGCTGCATTACGGACCAGGCAATTACTTCAACCTGCTCTCATATGTAAGGTGGTGTGGAGCTCATGTCTATATAACTCGTGTTAAATTTATCGCAAGCTGTCTAATGACTCAATCGCTCGATAGCTATGAATTTGAACAGTTTTCTATGAAAAAAAACTTACAATGCATTAAGTGAAGCTTCAAATAATGGGACTGGGCGCAGCGATACTACTGTTTGCCACTGACGGTATGTGAGATTTTCACCACGATAGTAGAACACCAGGCCGATGTCTGATTCGATGTCTGGCGACGCTGGCGCTCGAACCGTTACAGTCAACCTTAACGTATAAGCTAAATTAACAATATATGGTGCTAATGCGAAAAACGTCAAAAGTATACCATATTTTTTCGCCTGCCGGCATATGAACGCCCTCCAGTTCGAAGCTGCGGAGTGCACTGTTTGTCGGAGCGTAGGACGATTTAACCAACGTCCTATGAAAGTTGAAGTTTAAGATTAGGAAGACTTAGGTGATTTATAAAGTTCCTCCCTGTATGCGACTTACTTTTTCCCATTTACATCCAACAAAGAAACAGAGATGCAATCCAAACCATCGGTTGCCATACAAAATCCGTTCACCAGTATTTCCCAATGTTTTCAACCTGAACATTGAGCCTCTGAATCACTTAATTCGTATTAGAAGCGTATAAAAAACTGACTTCAACATGCATGTGACGGAGCTTGCCACAAATACTTGTGGTGATTTGTTTCTGGGCGATCGAAATCCAAAAGCGGCACTGTTCTGAGGCCACGTGAATTCGTAACGTTCATCTACAGCATGCACCACAGATTTCATCTGAAATCAAAACTATGTATAGGAACAACAGTGAAAGAGGCCATTCATATTCATTGATAAGCAGGCACAAATTGCCTCCCTGCCCGTAGTAACATAAACTCTTCACTTTACCTGTTTCGCGTTTTTATTTAGCCTTTTCCCTCGAACGTTCATAGGCAAAGTACCAAAGATGAAAGACCCGTTAGCTCCCAAAATATGCAATAGGATACTCGCAACACGAAAACCGTGAACATGGCATGTCGGGCGCACCCATAGCTCAACCTGAAAACGAAATAACGTAGATATGCTAGAATTCTGCATGAAATCCTGATCCGTAACCGAATAAATCAGGCTGTGGTTCACTAGGACAGGAAAGCGAACTTTTTCGCGTTTCGCGAACATTTTTCCGCTGCGGGAACCTCAGGTCCACCGCTGATCATCAGTGGACCCGAGGTTCCCGCAGCGAAAAATCAGTGGACCCGAGATTCCCGCAGCGAAAAATGTTTCGCGCTGCGAAACGCGAAAAAGTCGCTTTCTGTCCTAGTGAACCATACCCAATGAATCACCCCTTAGTAGAGGCTGGCAACCTGTTCGACCGTTTATTTCACCAACAAAAGTAAAACGACCACACTGAACTGACCTTTTTCGATTCTTCTGGCAAGAAAGTAAGAGAAGCCAACGATTCCTGGTCTTCAAAAGGCTGCATATTCTCACATCCTGAAGAGGACGTCAATTAAACATCCTATAACTTCCATTCACCATTATCAAATTGTTACCTTCTTTCATTTGAACGTCTCTGATTCCGAGTCTCACATTTTGAACTGTCAATGATGTTTTCAGTGGATTACGAAGATGAACTTCAACACGAAACCTCTCATAAGGTGGTGTACTTCGTATCCTCTGATTATCGGTCTCGTCATCGCTTACGAGATGAGTAGGACGAAAGGCGGCAAAGGAGCCTTAAAAGGATATAATGGGCAGCAATCAATCAAACCGTTTCCAAAAACGCACCAGCTAATGTATGATAGGCAGCCCGTTCAATGTCGATCCAAGCAATGTTCTTATTCAGGGGAACATCATCAGACTGTGGTCGCTCTCCACAAATAACTCTCGTTGCTTGTACGTCCAATAAAGGAACAGGCACGGTAAACGGATCTGACTGAAAAAAGACGATCACCACACATGGAAATAAACTACGACAAAAAGGAACAAGTGTACCGTACCTCGCTGCTTGCGCCAAATCGGGTCAAAGTCTCGACAAAATTCTCAAGGAAAGCAGCATGATTGAGTTCAGTTTGAATCGCGCTTTCTCTCAACAATCGAACTGCGCAAGCGACTGCCAACTCTTCATCAGATGCGTCTGCTGATAGGATAGTGGCTAGGTGGTCCTGAAAACTCTTTGTGAGGACCTCTATAAATAGAGCTTGAGAAAAATGAGAAAAAAAAACACACTTACTTCGACAGAATCCCAATTTGTATTAGCATACTTACGTAGAGCCAGACTGTAGCATTCTGAAATAAAAAGATAATCCATTCAATAACTTCTGCAAAAAGGAAAGGGTCTGTTCTGCGATACCTAAAGCATTCTGCTTGAGCCCCGCCTTCATGAACCGATTTCCAGCAAGAATCCGATAGAAAGCGGCTTTTCTTGTCATCTTCGCCTCCTCGAAATTTCGAGACGCATGCGCTTGTGTTACTGCTACGCACATGTCGTTATCCTATATTTGAACCACTTACATAACAAAATTGAACAAGGCTAAAAAAAACACCAACCAAGCTAGACACAGACGAGAGAAGAGTTGCAGCCTCCTTGAACATTCCTAACTTGCTCAGAATTAGTGAAGCGTTCAAAGCACATCGCATTACGCTCGTGTAGTTACTGAAATAGTTGTTTCAGAAGAAATAATTTCAAACTGAACCCACTAAAGGCACATTCTACGATCATTCGGTGTGGAATTCCCGCTAAAAAGTGACAACTGTGATGCCAAAGTGAAAAAGTGGAAAAGGGAGAATCCGGAAAGCACCGAAAGTAAGATCAGTACACGATTCTAGGACAAAGTCTAGGGCGGAGAGACAGAGATGCAGACTCCAATCACTTAAACTGTTGCCTCACGAGCAAAAAAAAGCAGCATCTAACAGTGAAAAAGACTAGGCTCCAGTATTTGCACTCTCGAGCCGCGAGACGGAACACTTTTTAGTTTTTGGACCTTAATCATGGATCCACACAGATTAATCAGTGAGTGTAGCACTAAGCAAAACTTTCGAAAGAATTGATGAACTGTGCTAGAAATACGTACCCTGAGAAGCTGAGCTGGTTTTCTAGTGCAACGTCAAAGTAATGTCGCGGGAACTGCTTCGGTGTTATTCTATTATCGGATAAGTACAGTGCGACAGCAGCCATTTCCTTAAAAAAAGACTATTCAGACGATATTGAAAAGATTTAGATTACTACAACTCCACTGACAAGGCCGATGTCAGACTCTGCGAATGAACGGACTAGCACAAGCGATTTACGCGATCAGCGATAATCGCGCCGTTCGCGGCCAAGCAACACTATTGACACAGTGCAAAACATATTTGCTGTCGTACTTGTATTTGCGGTTTGCTGAGTTGCACTTATTGAATTAACATGCTCGAAGGAAAGATAACATTACGATACTATGTTCCAACCCAATGTATATCAATGTATCAATATCAATGTATCGATAAAAAGTATATTTCCTCAATGGAAGGAGAAAGGTTATTAATAAAGTCTTCCAAATGAGTCAAATCCCCTATTATTTCTCGTAGCTGTTGTGAATACATATGATATGTTTCGATTTTTCCATGTCCACAATAAAGCTCCTCTCAATATGATTCCAGAAACAAGACTTCATAAGGTTTCATCAAGCGAGTAATTTCATCAAACTAAGTTCAGAACTAACCGAAGCTGCAGCATGGTAAAGCCACGCTTGGCTGTGCTCGAAGTCCTTTTTAACTGAGCGATAGTGAGAATGGGCAAAAGAGTATAGTCCAAACAAAAACGCTAGGTCCGCTAACCGTCGACTCTGCATTTCCAGACTTTCCGGTTGGAAACTGTAATGCATTCAGGTAAAACCCAACCAGTGCCGGAGTCAAGAAACCTTTAGCCTCCCAAAAACAACACATAAGAACTACAAAGTGGTAAAGGTACCTGACAGAAGATATCGTCTGCAAATTTCCAGCAGAACTGCCACCAAACCATTTCTTCATTCCACTTGTCAGTGATTTTCCTATCAAGCCTCGCCTGGCAGCTAATTGCTCAAGCAATGTACGCATTAGCCTCTTCGACATGTGGGATCTAAAAATTCAAAGAATTCAACTTTATGTCGGAACATTTCAATGCAACAAGCACAGTTTTTCAGGTTTATGGGACAACTGACCAAACAATCTCTAAGGAACTTGAAGCGTGATATTTTTCAGAGCCGCTCGATCGACATTTGACACCACATGCTCTTCTTGAAATGAAGGTTGGCCATTTCCTATACAGAAAAGTAAAAAAGCTGTCAAAAGGATAGCTGCAGCCAGATTTCCCACCTGGATATCCGTTAATGGCCGCAGATTGCACAGAGGGAGAATGAACAACGGCATACGACGGAGAAATGGTGGATACGCTAGTCTGAAATGACTTGCCATGAATGTTCGGAATATATGAGGTAAACTTTGAAGCGACCTACGGCACTTGGCTTCCGTTCCAACGACTGATGGGCCATGGCTGAAGCGGCAGCATGTTGAAGAGCACGACGTAGTCCAACGTTCAAAACAGCATCTAACTCCTCGCTATCTCGCCATACGTTCGGTAAATCCTCCGCTATCGTCCCATCTCCAACCCGTAACATCTGACAGGAATCCATTCCATACGTGGAGCACATTTCATTGAAAACTCCAGCAGTCCTAAACAAAACTCCTCCTAAACCTTGGAGCGAATTAAACAAAAGAGAAATATTTACCTAGCTTCATCATCTTCTGCGATATCGTGCAGGAGGAAGTAATGTTTTAATGTGTTTGGAGTCGTCCATTTTGGAGGGGCACAGTGAGATGGGGCCAATCCTTTCAAATCACCCGATGAATGCTAAATACAACAAACATTTTGGAGTGACGCATATTTCAAGCGAATAATAAACAAAAGGTGTACAAATAAAGGTTATGTGTATTATAGTGCGTTTATATAAACGCCAAACAACACAATGCAGCCGAAATAGAGGTTACTGGAGGCTAACTACCATCTATTGATCTTTCGTTTCGGCCGCAAAGAATAGCCCCGCCCATAAAAGCGTGCGCCAGCAACTCCCAGATGAAGGTTCGCAGACGTGAAACATGAGAGAGGATGCGTCCAGACAATGCCATCAGATGATGGCTCATCATGAACTTATGGTAATCCCTGTACCGTATCGGGAACAACTGAATAATAATAGTAAAATGCAATTTAATCAATGCCACTTATAAAACGTCAGCGTTCAGGTAGGCACTTTGGATCCCTATTGAACTTTCATGAAAATTCATAGAAACACGGTTAAAAGTCATGGAACACGATTAAGAGAATCAAGATATACATTATCTAGCAAATCAAGTCTGTCAAATATGAGCATTGCAAATTCATGGAATAGTACCGGTTATAATTACTCAAAGGTTATACACTGCGTCATAAATATAGGTCCACCCTAAATTTTGCTATTCCAGAATTGCTGTGCATTTTCGGAAAACCCTGCTATAACCATTAGATTCCTCATGATAAAAAACCCTGGTACTAATTTTCTGAAGAAATTCTGATTCAGAGTTATTCAGATATCCTCTTTATATGAGTACACATCACTTGTCGAGAAATTGTCTTAACGAAGAGAACACCGCAAATTCTCGGTATGATGTTACTTGATGTTGGCTTAGCAAGTGTATATGCCTACTTTCCTGATTCTCTTCACGGATGATGAGAAATGGGAACTTTTCATGAGTGGCCCTACAATCATAAAACTGTGAAAATTCGATCCGGAAAAGTTATCTAGGTTACTTAAGGGGGGAATTTCTTCAGAAAAACATAATCTTTCGTTATGAGAAATTTATTGGTGATAGCTGCATTTTCCGAAAATGCTCAGCGAGTTTGAATAGCAAAAATTTAGGGTGGACCTATATTTATGAAACGCCGGTAGATAAATGGCGGACATGGAAAAAACTCACTCAAAAAAGCGAAAAGGTGGCCAAGTTTATAAGTGTGTTGAACAAAAGAATCTTAGCACATCGTTTCACACAACAACGTGGTAAGCAGATGAAAAGCAAAAAACGGTCTTACATCGCTTCGTTTATTGCAGCGTGCGCAGAGACTGCACAATTTAGCGATTCACTGCAGTTGTCAAGAGAACTTGAAATTACTCATAAGAAGTCATCGCAAACGTCTAGCTCGACGTTTGCAAAGCGATGTAAGTTCATCCACGATAAAACAACGAAAGTAACATAAATGGCCAGCTAGGCCCCTTAACTTAACAATTGCGAGTTTACTAGCAAATCCTTCATAAGGAAATCTGAAGAGAATTTACAGAATTATAAGAGCTGCAGGCGAGAGGGAGAATCTCGGTCTGATAACCACGATGCCAAAATCGACACCCAACTTTTCGCCAAAGAACTCAGTGTATTCAACAAGAGAGGTAATGCACATCTATCTACACGCACGTTGGTATTGCTCATAGGGGTGACGCATACCATGTTGAATACTATATCGGAAAAACAATATAAACAAGAAAAACTGAAATCAGATAAGGTTATTCAGAAATCATGAGCCAATCTTTATATTAAGAGGCCACGAAATGGACAAGGAACTACCTAACCTGCATCCAAAAGAGACTAAGAACATACTTATTCACTTGCTTTTTTTCAGCCTGTATATGAAGCGACTTTGAACTTTTGAAATAAAAAAAGAAATAATTACTCAAAACCGTAAAAGATTTGAAAGGAAAGGAACGAACCTGCTGAGAATGTTGAGTTTGCACAAGTTTGCTAAGCTCACTCAGTGGATTCTCTTCGCATCCAGCAACAACAAATATACAGGCAAGGTACGTGCGAAAAGTCTCCTGCTCAGCCGGTTCAGTCCATTTTCGTAAAGCAGCTTCAAAGCTAACGAGAGCGTCATTCAGTAGAGATTTAGATCGCAGTACCTGGAAGGTATAGAAGTACACTATTCAGGTCGAAAGATATAAGTGGACGTCAAGATGAAACCACACCTCAAAAAGAACATGCGGAAGGACTGACAAGGTAAGAAGATGCCCTTCCTTATTCAAGTCATTGAACTCCACTGTCAAATTTACAGATACTGGCTGACCTGTAGACGGATCCTGAAAAAAGAAGGTAGCCAAATAAAGCCAACCATGAATGCAGAAGAGCTTCCTAAAAGGATCGAAAGATGACTACGAATCTATTCACTGATTTGAGATCCACGAGTGCGTATGACAGCTCGGGAGTTTTTTTTTTGAAGATAAAGTTGAATAATGAAAAATTATGAAACAAGAATCCATTGTTGAATTCGCTCTTCCAACAACAAACTCTATTCATTGAAAAAACACTCCACTACATCTGATTTAGTTGATGGAAACCAAGGGTTGATGGTGGATGAATGATAGATGGAAGAAATAGCCAAATTGTAATGAAAAAGGATCATCTTCAAAAGATAAGTCTATGAGAGTGGTATAAAAAGACGTTCGAACATCGATATTGGATTCTTAGAGTCGGGACTTTTAGAGTAGGCCCTAGGGCTCATAGAATCAGTGACAATAAACAGAAAACTCCTACTACGGGTCCTAATTCTAGCCCTTGTCCTTCTTGTGCGAAAATCGAGAGGGGGTCAAGGAGCAGAAGGGAGAGAAAGAAGAAGGCTCTTACTTAGGACACATTTAAAAAGTCAAAGCTTGGGGGCTGGAAACTCCATGTATTCACAGAATAAGCACATTGTTGGGTCATCAAACAAACAGCAAAAAAAAAACAATTGGATCCATTTGATAGTACACAAACTAGCGACGTTTGTTCATAAGGAATGGACAGGTAGGCACATATACATAGCTATACGAAGGAGATGGGGAGACCTAGCGAGCTGGATATAGGGTTTAGAAGCAGAGATTGAATAGAAAACTGGACGCCCTGCAAAGGTTAGCCGGATGATTTCCCAGAGCAGTGTCTCTCTGAATGAAAGTCACACGCAGGTCAGCTGTACAGCTACAACCCTGAGTGAACACGAACGTCGCATGCATCATAACAGAGATAGATACTGTTTGTCGACGGCGACTAAACAAAACTTCCGAAGAAGCACTCGAGTTGCTCCATGTTTGTCCTCACTGGAACCTCGGCATTACGAGTCGAAGGGCTGATTTATATTTTACACTGACCTATATGACGTCTTCGGGACAGCCGGGACGTCGGTTGAAGTTCATTGGGCCTTTGCTGTGACATTCTAAACCGGGGTGAAGCTAAAATGATCCGCCAGTGCTTTGACCTTTCGTTGAGTTCCTTATTCGTACAGCTGTGATTCGGGGTGTTTTTCACACGTTACGTCGGAACCGATAGGGGGAGATGCTGTGCGTCGGGGGGAGGCTTATAAAACCAAAGAAGCTTCAGCTATTTTTCAGGCTGCCACGAATACAAAAGGTTGAAACCTTCGAGGCCATTCGCGGGGTTGTCAATTATCACTTCGGCGGCCCCCCGGCGACAGAGGATAAACAACCTTTGATTTCGTTACAAATTCCATGACAATTGAAAATGGGATAACAGCTATGCCAGTCCTTTTCGTTTCTATCGCGAACTTCGTATAGCATACATTATACGAAGTTATACGGTGCTATACAAGTAGGGTGGGCACGCCGCATTTTTTGAACAGAAATGTATGTCAGTGGGACTGCTGCTCGCTACTATACTGTCACGAGAATTGGGGAATTCGTGAGCCAGGGGGAGTGTAGCCAATCTAGGGGGGGGGGTGAGGGCAGTCACTTGACATGCGTGAAAAGCTGGGTGCCCACCCCACTTGTATAGCACCAAATTTACTTATGCAATGTTGAAAAATAAAAAATGCTGCTTTTGTAACCTCTCGCATCTTTTCGTTTAAATACAACTAGAGCATTACAGAATCGTCGTAACAAATTTTATCATGTAATTAGTGAGATAAGTACCACTGTCGCATACTAGCGATACATCATCATTGGCGAATCGCAGCTCCCATCAAATCCTCGCTTCTTCTTCAGAGCACTGTGAAAAAAGGGGGCGCTCATGTCCTTAGGGGGGACATTCAGAACAGGGCATTCAAAAACCGCTGGTAGGTGACA